AGTCAATCTACTACCTATCTCATACACCCAACACTCTCCACAAGATGTCTAGCGAAACCTTCTACAAGACCCAACAGGATCTCCGCAAGCCCGAATCCCACGCTTCTCATGCCGCCGGTGGAAACACGCCTGCCAATTCCAATGTCTCTGCTATGAAGGTAACACAAACTTCCTGACCCAGCGGCAAATCAATTTGGTGACACAGCCGCTAACTCTACGATCAGTCCATCGTCGATGAGCACACAGACAAGGCCAAGGCCATCGAAGAACGCAAGGCCAACCTGCCTTTGCCAGACCAGCCTCCCGTCGCCAGCGATTGGCAGTCTGCAGACCAGAGAGCTGTCAACGTCGGCTCCGGCGGCGTAGAAGGACCCGTCTCCGGCGAGAGCAACAGCGCTCTCAGAGGGCCCGCTACTGCAGAAAGCAGCGCACGGAAGTCAGCAGAGGAATTGCACAAGGAAACTCAGCCCACAGGCAAAGTCGGTCGCCAAGCCACGGAAGGACTTTCGGATATTCCGGGGGATGCTAAGGCTCGGAAATAATTTCTTTTCGCTTGATGAATGCATTGATAAAACTTTTATGATGAGCGACCCAAAGCCGTTTTTAATGATAATACATACCAAACAAATAAAAAAGTTCTTCTAGTGTCCCTGCTTCCAGTCAAGTACATAGACGACAGAGTTGTATCTGCCTGGGTGGAGCCTGCGGGAAGCTTTACGAAGAGCACAAAATAGCCGAAGAGAAGTGAAAAAGCTTCATGATACTGATAATAAGATCTGCTCTTAGTGTAGAGGCAATCACCGATGTTGAATTTCGTACAGAGTACTCCGTAGAGAGGTACTAGCGTCCAGATCTGTACAAGTTTGCATGTCACATGACTTATAATGTACAAGCTTAAATGAACGTCACCCATCCATTGCACAGTAGTAGTGCAGTGCACTTGCATGTACCAGAGACAGACTGCGACACACTAAATGAGGAATAATCATTTGATTTCTATGACCATTCTACCATGACTTTTCCTGATCTCTGCAGTCGGTGTTTGGCCGAAAATATTCAAAGTGCCCGCATACCTTATGGCCTGAGGCCATGACGTCAATCAAGTTGATCAGCTCTAGATTCCCCAGCATCGACCGTTTTGAAGGACAACATATTGCGCAATCAGGGTTGCTTTCCGAACCGGGCAGCTGAGCATGTGAAGAGCTCGACATGTCGATTCATGCCCTGCAAGGATAGCCGTGTCATCGATCTGATTTGATCGAGGACGGAGGTTTCGGCCTGGAAACCTAAGGGTGATTGCAACATATCGCAGCTAAATATCTTATAGTACTGGTGGGGGGCTCCGTGACTATCATTCTTCTTCACTCGGTCTTCTGTTGCCCGCGCCACTCAAGAGCAGTGGTGTCCGTTCATTGACGTACCTGTCTCTCTGATGTCGCTTGCTGGGAATCTGAGTGTCTCGGGGCGGTGGGTTGGTACCGTCAGAGTGACATCACCTTGCTGGATGAGCTAGCCTCCAGGACTACAACATCCAGCGGTCATTGCTATATAGCTTTCCACCGACGCATCGTACTGTGCTCGACTACAGACACATCGACTAGTGAAGCAGAATCAACCGCATCTCACGTAGCTATCCCTCCCCAACAAACAATTCTTGGTCAGTTCAAAGAACATCATAATGGATCTCCAAGGCAACCCAGTCCCTCCCGGCCAGAGAAGCACCAAGGTACCGTGAAGCAATGCAATCCAGCTCTATACCAAGCATATGGCTAAGTGTTCGAGCAGGTCACAACAGATCCCGAAGCTACCAGATATCCCAAGAAGGAGACTTCTGGACCTGTCGCCAACGACTCTCTTGCTGCCGAATCAGCCAGGTCCGGTGGTGGATACCACCAGAACCGGGGTGCCGAACCTCTTGGGGTTTCCGGCGACCAGTCTACATTCAATAACACGGACACCTCTGGCGCTACTAAGCTGTCCTCTGCCCCTGACGCTGCCACTCGTGAGGAGCTCGACAAAAAGGAGAAATACCCTGAAAATATGGGTGGCCAAGGGAAGTTCCCTGGTGCGCATGTTCCCGAGACTGGCTACACTGGCGGCTCGACAGCTGCCAAGCAGGAGCTGGGTATCAACAAGGGCGTATATTCCACCTCCCAGCAGAGTTCTCGGCCTCAGACCCGATCTCAGACCCAATCCCAATCCCAATCCCAGCCCCAGTCCCAGCCCCAGTCCCAGCCCGCTGAGGCGAGTGGAAGTGGTTACAAGAGCCAGTACAATGCCGGCCAAGCCCCTTCGTACATCCAGAGTGTGACCGGGCAGTATACTCACACCAAGCCTAAGGGCAACAACTTGCAGGAGGGTGGCTTTGATAGCGACCCCAACAATAACGCCAGCTTCACTTCCGACATTGGCAGCGACCAAGACCCTGGCCGCTTCGCCGAAAACTACTCTCAGCGCAAGACTGCAGAGACCGGAGCCGCTGATGCTGCCCGCGGCTCAGTCGAGAAGGGAATCGACGATAAGACTTGGTATCAGCCTTTGGAAAGTGATCAGAGAGCTTGATCGCGATGGACATGGATACTTATGATATCAATGACGGCGGAAGGCGTAATGAGCGAAAAGTTGACTTCTAGTTAATCCTACATTGCGCGCGGACTGTGTCTGCAGTTGCATGATTATGTACCATAGAACTTGAAATGAAACACTCCGATCATGGACATGCGTGTTATATCTTCTTAATAGAAACGCCTCCCTCGTCTCTATCATCTGTCAATGAGCAATCACAACAACGCGGTTCAACCGTCCCATTCAAGTCCAGTTTCTCCTCATTGCAGCCTTCACACAGACAATCATCCTCGCCGTCGCCCATCCGTCCACATCTTTCCAACACAAACTCAATCCCTTCCACGATCCCAACGGCCAACACAGCTAACCACATCATAATCAACATGATCATAACAGGCGCCAACAACTGCTCACCCCGCCGCTCAGGATACAAAGTAGAGTACTCAACAAGAGATACCCAGTCCCCATTCCCATTACCTTCGTTGACCGGTCTTCTCGAGATAAATGAGCCATGATGGCTCGTGGACCAGCAGGTTGATTTCCAGTGTTTGCAGACCGTGTCTACAGGAGATACTACGTTCGACGGGGTATCTGTGGTAATAGTGACCTTTTCCTGGCTCTTAATAGTTGGCAACAAATTAGATTGGGCATTGATTGAAGAATGGAAAGTCATGGACGTGCCTTTGCTGCGAGGAAATGGGTTGTATCTCCGCTGGTTTGGGAGATATTCACTGGGAACGCGGATATGATGCTTAATAAAAAGAAGGAGATGATGAGTAGGAAATACTTGAATGGCATCGTTGTTTGACTCTTGCTGTTCAACTGGTAGTGATTCAATTGAGGTATGCGTATGCTCCTGTTGATGGGGTCCTCGACATCCATATATCTATAGCTACGGCCGAGATGGTGGGATAAATAGCCATTGATTTTCATTGACCGTGGCCCTTGCGTTAAACTAACCTTGACTCCCCCGCAGCCTGCGCGATACTCTCGATCTGACTCAAGGATGATTTTGAAATTACCAAAGGATTTTAGAGTTATGTAGGCGATAGAGCATGTCCCTTGCTGATTGAGTATTCGACTTGGGTGCTTGGGGGCCCACATTCCCCAGCGTTGACAAGGGATGGAAAGAGAGAAGGAGGAAAAGAGGAGATATTGGGTCGTTAGATTCATCAGGTCTTTACTTGTATGTCTCTCCTATGATGGATCATTTCCTGGTACTTCCAGCTATCGAGGCCGAACAAACCTGCACGAACTCCACCTTTGCCAATGTGGCAGAATCACGGTTGAGTCCCTTTTCTCTGAAGCTTCGTGCCAGTCTCCCGTGATGATTCGACTTTTGAACAATATGACAATCTGCTCGATGAAAGCGCCGACCAGGTTGTCTTCACTGCAATGATTCTAGTCCGGTTCGTCAAGAAGAGCTGAGGACCGGCATTCTAAGCTTCGTATACATCGTCATCTCAATTTCATGGCGAAACGATCACCTTATTTCCAGATTTGTTGCAGGTCAGGAACCATCTGCTGGAGAGGAACACTTAGGCAAGATGCAGACTTCTCGATTTGGTTTTGGAAGGCCAGATCATCGACATATCAGAAGTGGCACAGTCTGGCCAGATGGGACCATCCAAATCCAAGACCCTTGATTCTCAGCCACTGACTCCGGATCATATCGGACAAGCTTACTCACCCAGGGTGTATTCGCGGCTTTAGTTGACCAGTCGCTGACTTGTTATGGTCCATCAGGTACTGAGCATCGACGTAAGGATCAGGAATCGTGATTCAAACTGTATCGTCCGAATCTTCCCTTGGACTTCTTCTATGGATAGCATGGATCGGTCATTCATTGTGAGTCTCATGACCCCATTGCTGTCGCGTCCGCCAGCAGTGATTCGGGCGGGTCCTCTGCATGGCAGAATCAAGAAGGAACATTTCACGGCTCTTGAATTGATAATTGTGTCATACCTCTCATTGAGAAGCGCTATGAGCGATTTGCCTGCGATACACATACAAGAAGAGAGGAAGTGTAGTGTGTATCCCAAGCAGGAGAACAACACGAGAGTCAGCCATGGGTTCTGCTGTCCTTCCAAACACTTTATCAGTCGGAATCTACAATAATTTAGTATATATATCAATATGTAGATCGAACAATATCAACTTCGTGTTGAGCCTCATTTTTAGAAAGACTTCCTGCCTTTTCAATACACCAAGTTACGAACGCCAGATTTTGCAACGGACATATCATGAAAGATCAACCCAAATGAACACGTCCCAAAGGCCAGACCCCAAAGACATGCACTGTCTTGTCAGACAAAAACGTGGAACTGTACAGCCAGAGCAATTGACGTGACAGCAGCGAAAGAGGGCAACAGCCCCGACATTAAAATAAAATCCCACAGAAACAGAAGAGAGCAACGGAAAGGAAGAAGTGACCTTTACAGGTTCACCTTCTTGGACTCTTTCTGGACGAGCTTGGCCAACTCTTCAAAGACTTCGCTGAAATCCTCTCCGTCGGCTTCCGACTCGCCGTCCTTCTTCTTGCCCTTCGAGGCTGATTTGGGCACAACCATGACGACACTGGTCGGGCGCTTGGTAGCAGCCGAGTTACCCAGCTCGGCTCGCGATGTGACAAAAACATATGGGATACCGTGGTCTTCGCAGAGAACGGGGATATGTGAGATGACGTCCATAGGCGAAATGTCGGCGGCGAGGATGACAACTGCGGTGGGAATGGAGATGTCAGCGTTGGCGGCGGGGATGGGCGATTTGCGAAGAGCCTTGACGACTTCCTTGACACCACGCTTCAGGCACTTGTTTACGGCAGCTAGAGAGGTAGTTAGCAGACAGAACACTGTCAATCCAGTCGATGCATTTTTGCTCTGAAAAATATAGCTTCTGATAGATTGTTTGTCCAAATGATTTCCAGGATCACTCACCCTTCTTCACACTCTTGAGAACCTTCTTAGCCTGCTTGTCCTCAACCAGAGGGTTGGCGAATGGCACAAGTGCGCCGACGGGGCGGCTGTCGACATCCATCCCAGCCTCAGCAGTTCCATTAACATCGGCAGCAACGGCCTTGTCGATTCCATCCAGAACCTTGCTAGTAAGCTCCTGCTCTACTGCCTCGGCGAGAACGGTCTTGTCCTTCTTTTCCTTCTTGTCCTTCTTGCTCTTGTGGACGCCATCCTTCTCCGAGCGCTTTTCCTTCTTCTCGCGCTTGTCCTTCTTCTCGGACTTGTCCTTGGCCATTGTGACGAAGTTGCGCTTGCTTAATATACCAAAAAGGACAGAAAGAAAAGGGACGACCGAGGATTGGCGGGTGTTGGCGTGAACGTTGGGAGGAACAAATAATACTATGGTCTTTTCGGTGTCTTCGAAATCCGCAAAAAAATCAAAATCCATCTGAAAATTCTGACGCTAGTCCGATTTAGGAACTGGAGCTCATGGCACTGACTGCTTACTCATCACTTGCTCAATCGGGTATGATCGACCATCCCATCGAAAACAATCCCAATAGGTAGCTGGGAGGCTCTCAAACACATCGCGCAACGCTCCCGCTCTGTCCGGCATTTCTCAATTGTCGCATGTTGGGAGCGTTCTTGAAGCTCGGAGAGCATGTCATGTGGCGCATCTTATTCATCCTATAATCTTGGGACCGATTGGGGTCTATGCAACTTCGTCATTTATGAATACTTGAAGGTAAATCGCGCTGTGGCATCAAGACCCAGCTTGTGACTAACTACAACCTTCAGATGGATGCAAATAGAAACTCGCGACCCCCTTTGGGGTCTCCTCCTGGGAGCGCCTCACCCTTGTCCATCATGGGAACTCAAAGTATTCTGCGCCAATCCATCCGCCCTTCACAGCCTCCGAAGCCCGGTTAGATCGCTCGTTGCCCTGGAATACAAATCACAGGACTGACTCACCATAGATACGGAGAAGGAGGAGCTACGCGTACAAGTCAGCACTCTGCGGTATGAGCTAGAGAATATCAAACAGGAGAGGGATTTGATGACGCTGCGTCATGAGAAGGAACTCCGAGATCTACAATTGAAGGCCGATGCGGACTTCAGGAAGGCGCAGGTTTGTTACCATTGTCATAATTTGTCAATTGCGTTGGGCACATGTTGACGACAGTTTAATCGCAGGCTGCAGAATCCGCTAGTCATCGTGCCAACCATAAGAGTGAAACGCTTGCCAAAGAGTTGAAGGAAGTCCAAGACCAGGCCCTTAACGACAAGGGCGGACTAGAGCGGAAACTTAGAAGCCTACAGGATGAAAAGCAGAGCATACAGGAGGAACTGGAAGAGACTCAAGCTCAGCTTCTCGACCAGGAAAGACAACACAAACATCAGATCAATGAACTAGAAACAATTCGATCATCATTTCAAAAGACGCTCGAGGAACTGCAGAACGACCTTCAAGATGCAAGAAACAATTTACAATCTGTTCAAGAGAAGCTGTCGCAGCGGGATATGGATGTCGCCAACCTTGAAACGGAAAATATTCGCCTGAAAGCAGAGGGGACTGACGGGGAAACATTGTCCGTATTGAAGAGGGAGCTTTCTGACCAAGTCGCTCACATTAGGGCCTTGGAGACTGCAAATCGAGAACAGACCGCGGAACTGCGCCACCTGCGGAAAGTCCAGAAAAATGTCGAGGTAGTAGAGGAACAAAAGAAGTCCCTGGAAAATCAGCTCCAGCTCATGAAAAAAGTCGAGTCAGAATTGAACACTCTTCAGATCCAGAAACAGATTCTAGAGGATGAGCGGAATTCGTGGACCAGTCTGCTACAGGAGAATGATGAGCCTGCGGAATTTGACTCGCCCGACGCGGTCGTCAAAGCGTTATTGCAAGAACGGATTGAAAAGGCGACATTGGTTGACAAATTGGGCAGCATCGAGGCACAATTTTTGGAGAAAGATGAAATAATTAAGAGCTTGGAGACTGAGAGAGCCACCCTCCGTCAGGATCTAGAGAAAATGCGCGCTGCAGGCGCCGCCAGCGGCGGCGCCACAGCTGAGAGCCGCATCAGAGCTAGACTGGAACGTCAGCGGGCACTTGCAGTCAAGGAGGTTGAGTATCTTCGCGCCCAGTTGGAGACTTTCGACACGGAAGAGGTCACCATGAACGCGGAACAGAGCCAGTTCGACCAACGCAAGTCTGAGCAGATCGCCAACCTGGAAAAGCTCGTTGACGAGTACCGCGCGGAGGTGCAAAAGGCTCATGAAGAACTTGCCAAGCGCGAAGCTCCGCAGCAGGATGATACTCAAGCTCGAGGCGTCAAACGACCGTTGTCACCAGCTGAGAGTGACGCCGAGAACGAGCGACTCTCTGTATTGACGCGGAAGAACCGGACGCTGCAAGACTCGCTTTCCAAGTCTGAACAGGCCGCAGCGCTCCTCCGCAAGGAACTGGAAGCCACCAAATCCCAGCTCAAATCCCTCAAGGCCAAGTCTCGCACACGCATTTTGGAGCTGCGCGACAATCCCACCGCCGAAGCGGAAAAGCTCAAATTTTCAACTATCGCAACTCTCCGGGCAGAGAATCGTGATCTCCTGGCCCAACTGCAGGCCAACCACGCGGACGTCAAAGTCGTGCCCGTCAGCACACTCGAAAGCATGAAACTGGAGCTCAACGAAATGGAGAAAGTAGTCGCCGACAAGGAAAAGCGCATGCGCCGCTTGAAGGAAATCTGGACCGCAAAATCATCGGAGTTCCGCGAAGCAGTCGCCTCCCTGCTAGGCTACAAGCTTGATTTCCTCCCCAACGGCCGCGTCCGCGTCACCTCCATGTTCCACCTCTCCCCCGCCTACCGACACGGCGACAGCGGCGCCTCCTCTGACTCCCGTGGGCCGGGAAGCATGGGCAACGGCGAGGAAAACTCTATCATCTTCGACGGCGAGAACGGCACGATGAAGATCTCCGGTGGACCGAACAGTCTCTTCGCGATGGAGATCAAACATCTGATCAAGTTCTGGGTCGAAGAACGGAAGGATATACCCTGTTTCCTTGCGGCCATGACGTTGGACTTTTATGACAAGACGACGCGGGCTGCGAGGATGTAATTTTTGATAATGCCTCTTTATGTCTTGGGTATCCGTACTGTAAATAGTGATTTGATTTCCTAACTAGCATTTCTGGTGCCACGTTTGGTGGGAGGAATAATCTGTGGAGATGTTGCCCATTTTACCATCCTGGAATCTCACATGTCAATGTATAATGAATGATCTCTACCAGCTTAAACAACTGTCTGAATAGACTTGCTCTCTGTCCGTAAACTGAGCCTGCGATATGAACTTGTCCATTTCCCTGAGGGAGTAGTACTTAAACAAGAGAGCTTATTTACAATAACCACAAAAGCCTACTTTATCCAGAAGGTATCAATAGACCAGGACTTAGAAACGAAGATGTCGACACAGGGAAGAAAAGGGGAGTAAGAATCAAAAAGCTCTGAACCAAGTGATAGGGTAAAGGTGCTAAGAACGAGTATCTCGAGAGGTGAACAAGTTGTCAACCAGGCGAGGTGACTCCAGAAAACGCGACATCTAAAGGAATAATCCATGGCGGTATCGTATCTAAGGGACTTGAATGGGCTGTCACCGCCCCTTCAATATGACACGTATTTCCCAGCCACCAGCTTGCGGACAGTGGGTACTTCTTTCCAGGACGCAGGCGCGGCATCGGATGCTTGCAGACTGCCATCTTCGTCTGCGAAGGGATCGGTTCCCTTCTGCGGTGTGTCCTCTGACTGAGACATTGTACTAATCCCCAAGCGAGAGCCAGCGTCTGCTGTGTGGAGCTCAAATTTAGCGTCAACTTTGCCTTTTCGTGGCCAGCTGGTTGAAGTCGCAAACCGAACAAGTAGCTTTCCATCAGCTCCGGCGCGTACCTCGAGTTCAGGGATTTTCCAGGTGACCGCTGACTGTTTGCGACGGAAGGTGGCCCCAGAATTGGGATACATAACTGCACTCGTGGCATGAGCTGCCTCGCGGCCTTCTTCAGGAGAGGTATCCAAATTCACAGTCAAGGTGAGGTTCTTGATGGTGATTGACTCCTTTGATACCGACGAGGCAAATGACGAATTCATAGAGTAGAAGATGATCACGCTAGCCTGGAACTCTTCGAGATTCCACGCAGGTTTGAAAATCACGGGACAGTAAACCGAAGCATCCGACTGGTCGATGTGAACTTGGTACTTGAAAGCCACGGTTGGTGAAGACCGTGTGATGTTAGAGAGAAGGACGCTATACTCGCCTCTCTTCTCCTCCCCTGAGCCCTTCTCTTCCTGCACAAAATGTGGGTTGGCAGCGACCTTCTCCAATACCTGGAAATTATCGAGACGAACGCGCGCGCTATCCGGCGTTGTTCCAATCGATGCATTGTAGGCCAGTGCGAGTTCTCCTACAACAAAGGACTTGGTCACAGCGCCCTCAGAGAACCACGCACTGACTGTCTCTACGATTGACGCATTCAGCCCAGGTTGGTGTAGATCAGGATGGGAAACCGGGCCCGAGATGTTGTGTAAGGTGTGTGATGAGCGAATAGACGTTGTATCTGAGAGGGCATGATCATCTGTAGCGGTGCTGGGTGAAGTGACATGCCTAGAAGGCAGACTTGGTGAAGTAGGAGTAGAAACATCCGACCCCGATGGCGGAACAGGGAGTCCATTGCTCGAACCCGGAGGGTTCGGAATGAAAACTGTGTTACGAACATCGCGACGACCACGTATGGTGCCTGCGTTTCGTCTGACTCCGCTGTGTTGAGCTTGCTGCAGAGAGCGTCAGCGAGAGCGCAGGGAATAGGTTTCTCTGGCCGCACTTACCAGACGTAACTGATTAGCCATCTCGTCCATTGCTTGTTTAGCCTGGTTCTCATCTTCAAAGATTGGCTGATCTCGGATTGTCAGATTCATGCCATGCTCATCAAGCCTACAGCAGTTAGCATGATTTGTCTACTATGAACAGCAAGGACAGGAATAATCACCCAGCCGCCTCTCGCTGAAGCCGTGTTATCTCGTCAATGGTCTGTGGTCGTTGCGAGAATCCTTCCGAATCGATTCGCGGCTATTCATCGTCATCAGCTTAATCCAGGTGTATATTGTCGTCTGTACATACCTCATTCACAGCCATAGCAGCAGGCGGTGTCGGCTCATTATGAACCTCTTGAGTTGATCCCCCATTCGTGGTCACTGGTGTTTGCTGAGGTTCTGGACTCGTCGGCAGTGAACCAGGAACCTCTCGCTCGTGGATCTCAGTTGGGATCGGTGCGGCTTCGCCATGGCTATCCTGAGTAGTTAGAGCTGTGCCGGGACGATCCGTAGGGGATTCAGGTATCTGCATGTCGCGTGAATCTCCCCGCTTGAATGAAGCAAACGGACTACGATGCTTCTTATCTCCGAAGAGTGGCCCTCCTCCAGGGGTGTGCACTACACTCTTCCTTCTGCCCATGACAGTTCCTAGTCGCTTGAGGCCACCAAGGGCTGTGGTGCGGGGCTCCGGAGCTATGACACAAACATGGTTAGCAGACATTTTGTGTGAATGGTGGAATGTAAGTCTTACCAGGAGGTGTCCTGACAGGGCCCGAAGTCTCCGAGCGTTGACTAGCAGCATCGTCCTGAATGCGCGGCGGAGGAGCAAGAGGTGCTCCTGGCCCGCCAGAGGGTATAGATTCTTGCCTCCTGGGAGCAACAGGCCTGCCTCTATTAACCTTGGCGGCAAATGTCTTGATCTCATCCGCAGTCTCAACATTGAGAAGTACATTCAGGCAGCTCTCAGCAGCCTGGCGACACCGTTCTACCTGGTCCGATTCGTGCGTTTGCAATTGAGTCAGCGCGTCGCGGAGATGATTTACTCGGCCTTCGTCCGCTGCCTGAAGTTGCTCAAACACAAAAGGTGCCCTTGAATCCCATTGTTCTCTGATCTCCTCTGCGGCGGAAATGGCAGCGGCCAGTTTCTCCGCCCCCTTGGGGCCTTTCTCCCTGGCCTTTTCCACCTTCTTTTGATTCGCTTCGAAGCTCTTCGCCAACGCAGCGAGATCACTCTGGATGCCAGGCATCGATGCCAATTCTCGATTCTTGCTGCTGTATTCTCTCAAGGGGCGCTCCACGTCCTCATCAATCTTCTGCGCGAACGTTTCGTGTGATGAGGCCACGGCTTCGGTGGCATTGATGATGCGCTGCCATGGTAGTTGGAAAATGCTATTGTGTCGAAAAAAAAAAAAAAAATATCGAAATTAGCCTTGTCTTTTCGTGCTTCAGTTCCGAATGACCGAGCTTACCCAAGCGCCGCCCCGTTCTCGAGTTGTGGTCGATGCGCCAGTTTCCTCAACCCTTGCGCGTAAGCTTCTTCGACGCGGCGGCGTTCCTGTCGCACGGAAGACAAGAGTTAGACCCAAAGCTTCTGTTGTCACTTGTGTTAAGAGGTTGGAGCCATACCTGGAGCCAATCCGCGATATCCGCGTTGATCTTGTTAATGATACGTATGCGATCATTGAGAGCGTTAATCGCTTGGTTGGGTTGCAAAGAGGCCTAAAGGCAGGAATAGTTGAAAATATTAGCTGCTGCAATTTCATAGCCATAGCAAGAGCGAGATCAAGATGTCCGAGGGCCTACCAGCAGGGCTGGATACTCCTGCCGTGAGAGTTCCATCGCTCCGATTCATAGATCAACGGTACCAGAAGGGAGCGATCGTAAGGTGCATAATAGGGATATATTAAGAATACAGAAGCCGAAATACGGGTGAAGGAGCAATTGAAATCCTCCGAATATTACCAGAAGAGACCGTATCCTTCGATCAATGGACCTCGGAGTGGAGCAAGGAGCAGACAAGAGAAGAGGAACGAATTGATGGGATGGGATGGGATGGATGGGATGTTGATGACGATGGGGTTGCAACACGGAAGAATCACGGAGGAGCCGAGCAGACCGGAGGAGGCGATTGGTCAATGAGGCCCGGGGGACTCGAAGCTAGCTGGATTCGGCTAGCTTACCTAGTATACCTCAGGCATCGCAAGGCAGGATTATTATTGCTGCTCTTAGCAAAGAAAATAGTCACATGTTCCATCGATTTCCATACGGCTGCTACAACTGACAAGACTAGAAAGGATATCGTTGTTGCTTCATCTCAAGGGCCGGTCCTTATTGTATGTACAGGTAGTTAACTGATGAGCCGGTTATCGATCTCCCTTTGACTAGCTCGATTCTTCTCCAGGTTTATTCCGTCATCTCTGCCCCACGCGTCTAATTCGAAACATCCAACAACATGGCTGCACCAGACTGGAAGAAAGCTCTCGGGTTCACCGATCGATTAACGGCAATCCAATCTCTGTAAGCCTATGATCATCGAGATCAGTCTCCTAGAACGTCTGTCTTGGCAATTTCTAATACTACAGCCTAGGACTACTGCCTATCAGCGAGCTTCGTCTTCAGCTGCATTTGCTGAAGCTCAGTCCCAAGCAAAGAGATTCGAAAGTGAGGCTTATGAACAAGCTACTTCGAAGGTCGGTTCTCGACCGTGGTCATCAAAACGTCTGCTCATGAAGGATCTCGCAGGAAGAATATGACCGGATGTGCCAGGATGCCATCGATGCCACTGAGGCCAGTGGTTCTGTAGCCCCAATGATCAGCAGTCCAAACCAGTTGCAACATGAGCCCGATAAGGGTGTCTGGGCAGCTGGCGAAGCAATTGGTCCATTCAAAGGATGCCTCCATGTATTTGATGGGCTGCATTCCACTATTTACAAGTCCAAGCGTGAGGATGGATCTGTGGTTGCGGTGAAAGTTACCATACCCCATCTTTTGGCACCGCCACATGACGCTGAGCGCGAGGTTCGACTTTTGAGAGAAGCCGCGAGCCCTCATGTTATAAGTCTGCTGGACTCGCTCAAGGCTGACGGAGGACGACTCATCCTGGTCTTCCCCTACTTAAAATATGACTTGGAACATTTGCTCCGCCGTGATATGATCACTGCAACGCAAATAAAGGCTCATCTGCGGGACATGTTCAGCGCCTTGGCACACCTTCATGAGCTGGGAATCATTCATCGGGATGTCAAACCCTCTAACATTCTACTGGACTCGCCTGACGGCCCGGCGTACCTGGCGGACTTTGGTATCGCATGGAAAGAAGGAGACAGGGGCTCCGAGCCGGCTGATAAGAAAATCACCGATGTAGGAACCACATCTTATCGAGCGCCTGAGATCCTGTTTGGGTTCAAGGGATACGGAACAGCTTTGGATCTGTGGGCCGCTGGCTGTGTTGTTGCAGAAGCTGTCGCTGTCGGTCACAAGCAGCTGTTTGATTCGGGGCCCGTGGGGAGTGATCTGTCGCTTGTTCAGTCCATTTTCAAGACTCTGGGAACCCCAGATGAGAGCACCTGGCCTGTAAGTCATCCGATTATATTCTGTCGCTGTGCCCCTCTGGCCTTGGGGCTAGGTTAACATAGGAAACAGGAGACTGAGAAACTTCCCGACTGGGGTAAGATCGAGTTCTACCGATTTCCTGCCAAACCGTGGGATGAAGTTCTCAGAGGAGCTTCTTCCAAAGGACGGGATCTTGTGAGCAGACTGGTACGCTACGAGAGCAGTGAACGGCTGTCTGCTGCAGAGGTAGGCTACACATTCTAAGTGGACCACCCTGATGCTAATAGTGTGGCAGGCCTTGAATCATCCATTATTTTCGACGACTTGAAGCCGGTCCTCTCCAGGGGTTTAATTGCAACCGTCTCCCATGATACAAATCACCTCGCGATGATGTTGTGATCATCATGGCCAAGCTTCTAGCGGTCCACCAGTCTGCAGCGGGTGTTTCAGCCTTTAAAATTGAGTCGGCTCGAAGCGGGCATTACTACCACAATGATTGCCAACTCGCCACACCCTTGAGCGGTTGAGCCATAATTGTGACTGGGGCTCAGCTCCAGCAACTGGTTCCTTGAAATTTACTCGGTACACTTACGCAGGATCTCTTAGTTCGACCAACCGAGGCACCGACAACCCGTCACAGGATGAAAAATGGGCTAATTAGCGATCATGTAAGCGAATGCAATTTCCGACGGGATCGGTGGTCCTGATTGCGGGTACGATTTGAAGTGTACCTGCAGCAGTGTAACAATCGCGTCTTGCAGTGAGAATCATCCTAAATAGATATCTGCCAGCCGCACACAAATCAAGGTCCATGGTCTTGAGATAATTAGTTATGCATCTTGGAGTCAGAGAGGAAGAATGGGAAGCAGCATTCAGCCCCCAAGCGGGATGGTTAGATTCATCAACGTAAATGGCGCTAGGGACGACCGGAGAAGAGGGGCTTGGGTAATAATAAGACCATCAAATCGCAACAAATGCTGACAATAATTAACTATGGTATACAGTGATGCCTAGCTAGAAAGCACAGAGCGATGCAGGCAACCGAGTGTCTGAGTATTACAGACTGTTGCTTGGAAATGAGCTGTGTGCAGAAAAGAGGTTGACTCCCAAGGTCGCGAGCATCTTAGAGACTGAGAATAGGGGGTGGGATGGACGTGAGGTAGTTTGATTATCCAAGGTCTGTACAGAGCATCAGAGAACAAACTTACCGTACAGGTACCTTGACTCGTTTTAGTGATACACGAGTAACTCTGTAATGTCGTGCTCAAGGCTGAACCTTGATGTGTTATGCGAATGAGGCAGAGTTTGGGACTCTCCTACCTCGTCATATTCCAGGACACAATATCTACTCTGTTCCTACCTACGTACGTCAAGTGATTGGTACATCACTGTCTCTAATCATTTATGATAAACATCAAAATGGTCGAATCCAATAATGAGTTGGATTATGGCGGCACGCTGAGTCCTCGTGTTGGTCATTACGGTCATGAAACCAGGCACCGTCACAATCATCAGCCAATGAGCAATGCCAGAGCCCTGCGAACAGCGGGTCTGGAACAGGGATCATGGCCCCAGACGGTTAGTGCGGTCAGACCCAGCCCGTGTCTTTCTTGGCTGTGATTGGCCACTCCCCTCATTTTTAGCTCTGATCTCATTTCGTTTACTTTCGCCCGTTTGTGGTAAATGATTGACTGTGGCTGTTTTCCCTCTTGGTACCTCTTAGTACCTCTCTACTGAGTGAGTACAGACAGAGTACAGACAGGACAGCCCAGAGGTTCTCTCTTAGGGCGTCTGTCTCTCCCGCTCAGGGCTATCACCACCAAAAAGCAGCCTTCTTTCGCTTCTTTTCTTTCCTTCTCTCGTCCTTCTTTTCCCTTTGCGACTGTCTTCCTTTTTTCATCTCCCAATTCGTGGGCATTCCACGTTTTGGTCTCCCTTCTTTCATTTGACACTCTCGCGGCCTGGAAGCTCGTCGTTCTTTCATTCATTGAGTGGCTAGTCCGCCAGCCCCTCCATAACCCAGATTCATTCTTTTACTTCCCACATTCCTTGACGCGCTTTGCGCTCTCTTTGCTTTGAAAACGCGGCCTATTTGATCAGACCAGTACGAATTAAGGGTCCGTCTTTGATCTAGGCACGTCGTGTCGGGTCTTTTTGTTTTGAAGCACAAGATTCCCATTCTCTCGTTATCATTATATCAGGTCTCTGCAAGACCTACCATCTCATCGCAGCAGCATCATTAGAAGTCTATGTTTCTTGCCGACATTATCGTCTGAACCAATTGACTCAACTGGCAGCGAAGCAAGAGTGACAGCCTCAATCGCAATCATGGTGCACGCACATGCGCATCGCGATCATCACGCTGCCCTTGAGGAGCGAAGCCTCGAGGAAAGAGATCCCAAGAATGAAGCCGTGACCATCGTCTACGTGACGGCATCTCCCACCTTTGACGGTCCTATCGGCGGCTATGTAACGGGCGTAGACCCGGGAGCAACGACGACACAGCCAACTCAGGGTGTCGGCGCTCCCGTGGGACACTCACGATCTTCCTCAACCGAGGAAGAAACAACGACGACCGAAGCGAAGTCGAACCCCACCACAGAGACTAAGGCTACGATCACTGAAGTGAAACCCACGACCACCGAACATACAACCAAGGCGATCACCACCGACAACACTGAGGACATCACGACTCCAACCACCTTCGCCACGGCCACCTCCAGCTCGACTTCGTCGCTGACTATCCCAGGCTTGAATACTACCACTACCACCCAAGGATCGTCGTCTCTGGAAAAATCGGCTTCACCGTCGGCCACTTCAGTTGCTGCTGGTTCAAGCTCGGGACTTACTGGGGGTGCAAAAGCGGGTATTGCGATTGGTGTGATTCTTGGACTTGGTTTGATCGCAGGTTTCATCTTCTTCTTCATGCGCAAGAGGAAGCAAGGGCGACAAATGGCAGAGGCCGAAGCAGTAAACGAAAAATCCTATGGAGCCGATAATATGCTTCCGCCTGGACCTCCGCCTAAACCCCAACCGATGACCCCATCTGAACCGCCACAACTCAACGTCCGCCCTGTCACTCAGTTTGCACCAGATCTGACCTCTATGACCTCTCTCGCTGCTGGCGGGGCTGGTGCTGGTGCTGGTGCTACACTGGGAGTCGCTGCAGCTGGATCGCGTAACTTGACCGGCAATGCCTCGCCGCCCCATACGCCACAGTCGAGTGTTAGTAGGACAGATCCGTTCGGCGATCCAGTGAATCCCTTTGGCAATCAGGCAGAAGCTCCTTCCCCGGTTGCAGCGACAGGTCCGCCGAGTCCCTCGGCGGTCCCTCTTCCTCAATCTCCCCTGTCACCCACTGTAACGGCACCGAGCAATTCTGGCGTGGAATCTGCTCTTGGAACTGCTGCTACCGGAGCTGCAGTGGCTGGTGGTGTTGCTGCCGCCGCCGCCGCCGCCAAACCCTCCGACAAAGACCTACCTGGCCGCCCAGAAAGTTCATCGTCCCAAGCATCATCGATTACCGAAAGCTCGGCTCAAAGTCCTGTAAGCGCCGTTAGCGCTGATCCTGCGTCGATCGCCTCTGCTGCCGCGGTTGCTGTTGTTCCAGCCTTCGGACCCGGCGGTGCTGCAGGCCCTCCTCCCGGGCCAAGCAATGTTCATCGCGTGCAAATGGATTTCAATCCTTCAATGGATGATGAGTTGGAGCTGCACGCCGGTCAGCTCGTTCGACTTGTGCACGAGTATGACGACGGTTGGGCTCTCTGCGTCAGACTCGATCGCTCGCAGCAAGGAGTCGTTCCCCGGTCTTGTCTTTCGTGCCGTCCCGTGAAGCCTCGAGCCCGTCCGCCCCCAGGAGCTGGTCCAGGCCCTGGCCCCCGCGGGCCGCCACGACCGCCAATGATGGGACCCAACGGCCCTCATGGGCCTCCTAGACCCATGCGACCACTACCTCCTGGCTTCCATCCTCATGATCCCCGCCCACGGTCACCCTCGGCCCCGCGCCCAATGTCCCCAGCTCAACATCCTCATGGCGGACCTCCACCCCCACGTCCGTATCCCCAGCACCCAATGTCTCCTGCACAGTTTCCTCCCGCTCCGCGATCGTTCTCTCCAGGTCCCGGTGGCCGGCCGATGCCGCCAAGGTCCATGAGTCCTGGACCTTACGGACCTCCAGGATTGCAGAGGCCGGAGATGCCAGCGAGCCAGCGGAAACGTAGCAACAGTGCAGGTGGGCCAGTGGGACCTATTCCTCGTTCAACAGGATCACCAGGACCAAGCCCTCTGGCCGGGCCAATGACGCCACCTCCCTCCGGTGCTCTTCCGGCAATTCCCACTCCACCACCGCCGCAAGCACTAGTTCGAGACGACCACGCGTGAAGTCAATAGGCTTATGAATGTCCAAATGTGAACGAAAGCGACCTGCAAATGCAATTGATTGATATGTGGGGGACAGTTGATTGTTATTGCCGCTGGACGGAACGAGCCTGGTATGAGTATCACCTGCGTCTGGGACGAATGAGCCCCCGCTGTCAACCTGTTTCAGTTTCTCTACTTCTTTTTCATACTTAGTATCTTTCTATCCCCCCCTCTTATACGTTTTCTTCTACGATGCCGGCAACTGTCTCCCCTCCAAGCAAGATGCCATCTTACTTGGGAAGGCTGTGCCCATGTCTTGTTCAACGGGAATACCCACTTCTTTCAGTTTAACTCTTTTTTTTTTTTTCCCTTATCTTGAGAAAGGATGTCGGTTGTGAGGTTCAACACATTGTGCTCTTTCTCTCCCCCTATACAGTGCGTTTATTGTGTATCAGCACAGTTCCAGTTGCTCTTGCCTTCCTTTCGCATTTAGATCGGAGAATCAAAGGAAGAAACGTGGACCGGGTCTGGCTTCCTAGCAATAATCCTGTACGTTCTCTGATTGTTCATGTATAGTTTGGTGGTCGTCTATGTAGATAGTAGTGAATACAGCAAAAACCAGAATATTTTCAATAAAGGCTGTGGCCGAGGCAAATCCTGGAAATAGTTTTTGTTCTTCTGCAGATGATAATAAGTATATATATATATATATATATATATGTCTATCTAGAGATGTGGAACATTCCCGCTAGCCAGAAGCAGATTGACAATACTGATGATCCCCTCGCCCAGAATCAACCCTGAGGCTAGCACCACCACCGACGAAGAGGCCGCGTCCGCTTCTCGGGCGGCCTGTTCGGCTGTTTTGCCGGCCACGGCCGCAGGCGCTCTCGATCCTCCTGGTGTCTGATCTGCTACAGTCTCGCCAGGGGTATCCGAGGAACTGGCGGTGCTTGTGCTGGCGTGCTTCCGCGACCACCACCAGGCGATTATCCCGCCGATTGCTCTGGCCAGCGTGAAGGAGGGGACGTTGAAGATGCCCACGGCGACGGCGATGCCGCCGGGGACCCACGCCCTCCAGGGAGCGGAGACGTTGCGCCGGCCGCCGTTCGCCAGGGGCGAAGCGGCGTAGATGCGCAGGATGGTGACGCCGACGAAGACGGTGCCTGCGAGTAGCGAGGCCTGCCAGGCCATGGGGGGCAGGCCCTGGCCTGTGACGAGGCGGGCGGTGAAGATCCAAACGTAGGCGGTCGGGGTCTGGAACATGGGCCCAGGGACCTGGTAGACGCTCACGTACATCCTGTAGACGGCGGTGGAGAGGACGGCGCCGACGAGGCTGCCGATCATTTGGCCGTAGAACTGGGCTTTGGGGCTTGCGCCGAGCAGGTGGCCTGTTTTGAGATCCTGCATCATGTCGCCGGCCTGTAGGGCTCCGGATTCGGAGACGGCGCCGGCGAGGAGGTTGGTGATTAGGGCGGTGCGACGGGAGAAGTGTGAGGCCGGCGTTGCGAGAGAGAAGAGGAGCTGGGTCAGTTTGCTGATTCCGGAGACGGGGTTCAGATCTGTCTCGCCTAGTGCCCGGACGCCCATTATGGACAGTAGCACGGCGAGGAGAGTGGCCAGGCTGGAGAGCAAGGGCGACATCACGTCTCCGAAGACAATGTGCATGCAGACCACGTTCAATATCAGTGTCAAGGGAAGGAGGATCGCCACGGTTCGAGTAGAGATGAGCTGGGAAGGCGGCGCATCATCTTCTTCCTCGGGTTCGCCGTGCCTTGCCGGAAGTTGGACGGAATAGGCTGCTGTCGATGACTCCTCGGAGATCGGACTCAGGGCGGAATATCTGACGTATGAATGGCGAGAGCTGGTATTCGACGCTTTCGCCAGAATCCATTTTCCGACGCGACTGGAGAAGAATCTGGCCTTCAGCTTTGGAGCGTTGGCTATGACGGGCTTCAAAACCAGCCAACCAAGACTGACAAGCGAGTCGGCCAGCATGATGGCTAGAGATACCCACACAATCCAGGCCTTACTTCCATCCTCCCAGCTATCCACAGGCCCAGGGGCCCAGCCACGAGCCTTGGCGAGCGGAGATAGGATGCCCCAGCCGAGTATGGCCCCAAAAAGCATGTGCATGCAGGTAGATGGGCCCATGATAATTCCTTGGCCAATGTATGCGGGGGATGGGTTGAGAGTCCATAGCCAATTTTGTGCTAGGGGAAGACCCAGAATGGGCACGTCACGGACTTGAGGGACAAAGTAGGAGAATAGCGTCTGTCACGGTTAGTGTCACTCGGGCTCGGTTTAGTACGACCACTAGCAGGAGATCTCACATAGACACCAGACACCGCAAAAGCACCCACCAGGAGGCGCATCTTCGACCGCCAATCTCGTCTGTCAGCCGAGTGGCATTCACTAGCATCCTTTCGCAGTAGCGCATTGCCCTCTTCCTCTCCGGTTTCTTGCGTCAAGGCAACCGTTTCATCCTCTCCTTCTCTTAGCACCGCAGCCGGATTGACTCTTTTCTTCGCCTTCTCATCGCTAGACCCACTTCCGTGTAGTACTCTGAGCATGAGCGCCGATGCCGTCCCACTCGGAAACCTCAATTTCTCTCTGATGATTACCTCCTTTCTTAGCGGGACAGCAAAGACAACTCCGAAGAGGCAAACTCCCAGACTCCAAAGTACCAGTTTCCAGAAATTGAGCTTCAAAGGACCGCCTTCCCCGGTACCGCCGTCGCCAGAAGGCCCGTCTTCCCCGTCTCGGATGAGGAATTCCAACGCGGGAATGACGCCAACAAACCCGCACCCTAATGGCATAGTTCCCACTGCCCCAGCCACCGTTTGAATAAGGACGTTTTCTATCGGCGTGAACGGATAAGAGAGATACTTGGAGAAGACCTTAAAAACAGAGAAGCCGATAAGTGCTGAAGGCATGGCCATTGTGCTGATCCAGCCAGTCTGCAAGCCGAAGTAGGTGTTGGAGAACGTGATCAAGGCGCCAATGACGAGTCCAACAAAGAGGGAACGGGCAGTGAAACTCTGAGGGGATGTCCGAGATGATCTCTCCATTTCCGGCTCCGGTTCAAATACATCGTCACGGTATCCAGCACTCCGTTCCTCGCGGCCTCCAGGTTCCCTGGAGGTCGCTGAGCCAGCATGCTCGGGGGTGTCGGAGCGGTGGCCATTGTCGGTGGCATTAGCCGCCATGGTGATGGATTGATAATTCATCCAGGCCGCAAGTCAAGGTACATCTCTCAAAGCTGCAGTTTTCGTTCCATTGGATAGATTTTCAAAGAAATATCATCCACAAGATGGCAGTCGAAGGGCTGATTTGTCATGACTCGTGAGGGGAGCACAGAATGTCTGAAGTTTGAGGCGACGCGTGACTCGACACCGGTGAGATAAGCGATATGATAAGCATATCGATAAGCGGCAGTGATGTCAGCGTCTACTATCTAGCAAAACAGTTGTGGCATCCTCATTCTGTTTGTTCAACGACAATACGTACGTCGCTAATTAATGGAACTTATTCGCTAACATGGCTAGTTGGCCCTGGAGTATACAGGATATCAGTCGATCATCAGGCCACGACATTGCATGGCTGGCCTGCACTCCATCCTTCAATGGCCTGCTTCACCATCTGCGAATAGTTGGCCAACGTTTTCTTTGATAGCCACGCTAAATGAGGAGTGACAATTAGATTAAGGTCCTTTGTCCCGTCGGACAGTAAGGGAGAGTTATCCAATCCAGCAGGCTCTTCACGGAAGACATCCGTGGCTGCTCCAGCAATCGTACCCTTTCTCAAAGCCTCGAGTAGTGCGTCTTCATCTACAATTCCTCCGCGGGAGACGTTGACGATGACAGTATGCGGTGACATATTTTTCAATTCTGGGGTCGATATGAGGTTTCGCGTCGAAGGACTAAGCGGCACTGCCACGAAAATGACCGTGCTTTGTCTGATGACAGCATCGAATGGAGTTCGCTCGGTGCTATCGACCGTGCTCAGTGACACCGATGCTGCAGGATCTTTCCGCGCTGATATTAGCACTTTCATCCCCAGGTTACGTGCAAGCTGAGCGATCATTCCTCCTGTGTTTGTGTTGTCAGCCTCCAGAGCAGCAATCAACCGGAACCACATCGGACTCGCCCGACTTACCAACAATCCCGTTTCCGATAATACCAGCTACTTCATCTTGGCAACTCAAAGGAGGCTGACCATGTTTGTCGAGGAATTGATACAGGATGGTTCCTTTCCGATGCGCCCATTCGCCCGCTCTGGTCAACATGTGCATATCCAGTAGTCGCCGCCGCGAAGCGAAGTACAATCCGATTGCGTGCTCGGAAACCGAATCCACATTTGCACCAACAGATCGGCTCACAATGATCCCTCTCTTTCTGCATGCTTCGAGATCAATACAGTCTGTGCCAACTGCTGCGACGGCAATGAGTTTAAGATGCGGTGTCACCTCGGGGGAGAGTGTGTGCGCGTCAAAAGGGATGTATGAGAATACAACAACTGAGGCATCCCGAATACGCGAATGGAGTTCTGAGAGCGAAGTTTGCTGATAGACGGTCGTAGTAAAAGTGTGACCAGGGGGGAAGCGAAAGTCGGGGATTGGACAATAATCCGCCTGAAGGAAAACAATGTGGTGGTGTGTTGTTGAAGGACTTGCGCTCATCTTCAAATATGCTATATTCAATATATCCTGAGGAGTCTCGTAGGCTGGTTTTGAATCTTAGTTATGTCAAATCGACAATAATGATAGTGGCATTTCACCTGTCCGCTCTAAATATATATACTAGACAGGTATCTCCCCACGCCCTACGAGCAACAAATCCGGGTGGGGTGTGATAACTGCTGACAGGCGGACAATAATAATACGTCGTTCCTTGACCTTGTACCTCACTGCAACTCTACCACCAACAGCCTCCCGAAACATTTAAAGCTTCATCGAGGCCCGGTTAGGCAACCAAGACCCTCATCCTATTGCAGATATTCGTTAATATGAGGGAGCATTCTTCTTGATTCGTGCGCGTTGCCCTGTATTCCGATGGCTGATCAGAAGTGTAAAAATATATACCCTGGCCCTACTATCAGCTCATGATTTAAGTATATAATGCTTTCCAATTTCTCTTGTACCTGCTTCATTTGTGTTCTTCTATTTGTATACACCATGAAATTTCTCTCCACCGTTCATCCAAACCATGGATTTCATCTATTTGCATTTTAGCTCTCAATTGTTGCTCCGCCAAAAAGCGCCATGTGATAAAGACAAGCATGTAAGGCTTGCCTATAGGTAAACACACAGTGTGAGACTCATTTCTTTTACCTATGGATGACAAAGTGCTAACCATCATTCCTAAACAGAACCACAACGTCCTTATTCTTACGCATTGCTCTCCATCTTCAAGGACTTCTGAGGAGACTGAAAGATTTGCTCGAAATAGCCGGTCATTCCATCGACATCCTCCATGTTTCCAACCCATCCAATGTGCTGGTCGGGTCTGAGGATGACGAGAGCGCCTCGTACCCTGTCGACACCCCAAAATTCATATCCTTTTCCCGTACATTGTCGGTCCCAGAAACATTCGTCATCGCTCCAAATTTTCTCATAGGCCCATCCTCTCTCCTGGTCGAACTGTCTGAGCATTTCTGGAAAGTCTGAAAAGTCCATATCTCGCACCGGAGCACTGTGCACAGTGATCACTTCAACGAGACTGTCGAGTTTATCGCCTTCGGGCTTATACCGCTGGAGAACCGACTCAGCCGAAGCTAGATGGGTGCTGAAAGTTGAGACGCGCTGCCTCTGATCTTCGCGACGCATATCTCCTGCGAGGAGCACAATCCGGAAGCGCCCGTCGCTTGTGAAAAGGCGTGTTGTCCACCAGGCCCGGCCATCTGCCTGATTACGGATCTTGGCTGGTGGGAATCTTTCTCCAGGGATCAGATTCGCAGCGATACCCTCGCCTCCCTTGTGGACTAAAGCGCTGGGCCCATAGTAACAGACGTATCCGTTGGCAAATGCGATGGATAATTGGATCACGTCCATCAGTGTTTCCTTGCCATTGCTAGGGGCTGTGCTTTCTGCAGCGTCACCCTCTTGCTCCTTCACAAACAACGGCTGCAGACGGCGGTCCAGATCGATCAGCATTTCGGCAGTTCTTTTACGCTCTAGCTCGTAAGTAGCGAGTATAGAAGGTCGAGCGATCCCTTTCGCGACGAGGGCCACTTTCCAGCCGATATTGAATCCATCTTGCATACTCATGTTCATGCCCAGACCTGCCTTGGGAGAATGGGTGTGAATCGCGTCTCCGGCGAGATGAATGCGCCCTTTCGTGAAATTTGACGCGAGCCGCCGACCGACCTGGAAGAGTCCTCGAGTCACCCTTCTGTCTCAGAATCCAATGTTCTAGTTCAACCATACCTGATAAACTGTCCACCAGTCGCAGATCTTGAAATCAAAGTTGAAGGGTCTCAGCATTTCCTTGGCCTTTTGCCGAATCATCTCAAGAGTAATTGAGGCTCGATCTATGGATGCCAAAGTGCCGTCAACGGCCTGCAGAGGCAGATAGAGCCGGACAAGCTGCCTTTCCCTCGGGATGATCAAGAGAGTGCCGTGTTCAGTTGCCACGGTGCAAACGCGGCGGATATCAGCTACCAGGAGTCAGCAACCGGCATATAGCTACGGGCACAACCAGTCTCACGGAAGTTTGTGATGGGAACCATATCGACTACACCCCTGACAATGAGTCAGTCAAACGCCATGCAGAACAGGGTAACTGCCTCAGTACCATATGTGCTCAGTTGTGGAGCCTTCGAAAGGTATGTTTAACTGTTTCCTGGTCCAGCTGTGCGCTCCATCACAGCCAATGAGGTACTTGGCCTTCACTGTCTCGACATTTCCCGGTCTCTCTTTGCTCTTCTTGATTAGATCATCCCAATCATCAGGCGTGATGTTACTTCGGAGTAGTCCATTTCGTACGCCTCCAGAACCACCATCGCTGCAGGAAGGATTCGCTTCTTCCTCGCCGAGGGTTCTCAACGTAACAGTGACAGGATACGCATCGCTACGATTCTCGAGGGTTTCATCGCACTCTAGTGATTCTGCAATGACGCCTCTCTCGACTTCAAGGTCAGAACAGTCTTTGATGGCATCCAAGATGAAACGTTCAATTCTCCCTTGGTTCAGGAGACAGTTGCCAAAGGGCGAGATGTCCACATCGTGAATCGGATGCTGTCCTTGTCTTTTTAGTTGGCCATCCTCACCCGGGCCCTGAAAGCCTTGCGTCAGCCAATCTTCGCGACCATCACCCAGAACCCATTCGAAAGAGGCTGACTGACCCAGAACGTGAATTCTGCTGCCTCACAGGCTTCGTGAAGGACTCGATGCACAACTCCTATGCTATCAAGCAGCTCAAGCGTCCTGGGCCTCAGTCCATCCGCCTGCCCGGTAAATGCCTTGGTGCCACGCTTGTCGATGATTCGAGCATTCACACCGCAGCGTGCCATCCAGTAGGCGGCCATCAGACCAGACGGGCCGGCGCCGATGATGAGCCTGAACGCTGATCAGCAACATGACTTGCAACGGGGCAGAAAATGGCTTACACATCAGTGTAGGATGTAGATGACCCCGTCATGTTGCAGGAACTTCGCTCGACTTCTCGGTAGTGCAACGTCACGCTAGTTCTTGATCCAACTCAGAACGATCGGGGAGAGCGCTTCTTGATATATGACTCAATTTACTACAGCCATGCCTCTACAAGGAACCCTGAGCTGTCCGCTTCCGCCGGGGAGTTGACCAGGAACTTCGTTGATAACAGAAGCCAATGGTAACGAGAGATGCCTTCCAAGGGAGTACGATGCGTGGCATTTCAGATATCGCCTAGTGGCTGTAGAACATTGGCCCTGCTGGACCTAATCGCGCATTTTCGTCACAAGTACCCAGGCATGAGGGTAGACTTGGTGCTCATCCCTTTTCAACGCATCCTTGTCGGGGTAAGCCCGCCAAGTCACCGAGCGGACTATCTATACAGCGGGCTTACGGCGGATAGAGAGCACTGACTGTACTCGTATATGCCTTAATAGTCAGTCGTTGAGCTGAATCAAGAAACAAAAACAAAGTCGAGCGCCCTGTCCGCGGAGTCCATATTTGCTCTCGATTGCTAAGCAGACGCCTGTGTCGACCTGCGAATAGAGAGACGGCAATAAGGTCAAAGAGCTTCAGGGCTCAAGGCAAGAGATGACGCAGCAGTCAATCAACCAATCGATGAGGCTGATGATACCTGAGCTCATTGGCTGATCTGGCTGGCATATGCCTGTAGACTCAGCTGACGTCAGGATTGAAATCTGGCCCACGGAGATCGTTCTCGGTCAGCTGCTTCAACGGTGATGCTCTCAGCATAGAAGGCAGCATAGTAAAACCGGTTCGATTCTGAGTCGATGTGTGCCAAAGCTGCCCGCTCCGTCCTGGAGATCGATTTTTGCGTCATGCCAGGAAACTGCCGAAGCCTGGGTCGAGGAATGCGAATGCTCACTCAAAAAGGAAGTTGTGGATACTCGTCCAGATGCTCTTTCAGGAAACCCCTATTTAAGGTGGCATGTATGAACAACATCCGTCCCTGACCAAGTTCGCCCATTCCTAGAGGACGATGTCTCCGCATCGTGATGCTACCGTGCGGACGTATCAAGCGGAAGAACAATGCACAAAGTTGATCAGAGGGCAAAATAGTCCCTGTCAGATAGAGGGAGCAAAATAGGGCATAGAAAAGCGCAGGTGAAGTGGTGACGCTGTCCTGATTCCAAACGGCTCCCAGTCTCTGAAAAGACTTTCCAACCCGGAGTACATTTTTGGGCTTCATCTCGTGTTCTGCGCCCTTGAAGGGGCTAATGCTTCTAAGAACCAGCAGAGCCAGTGATTGGTTGAGCGCAGGAGTAAATAAATATGAGGCCCCTTGCGGAGCTTCGAACGAGGACATCAGGATCCTGAGTTCACTTGCACAATCCAGGGGCTCGAATTCAATCCCAAACCCTCAAGTGTCAGAACTCCACTCAAGAATGGATGCCAGGTCTGCCAATTCTACGGCACACATACCATTTCCTGTTCCCGCGAATCTGCATTCCGGGGGAGCAGGCATGTGCCCTAGTCCAAGGAAGGTGTTTACCTCAAGGATGAGAGAAGCGATCGGGGCGCTGCTACGCGTTGGATTGTTGCCCTCATACAGTGAACATAAATAGACGGTCTGCGTCCCTGGCGCGGTGGCCTCTTTCGAATTTCGCTATCCATCCAAGAACCTACCGCAGTCACTCATTAGGACGGCCCCCTCTACCTCACGCAAAAGCGTAAGACCATTCGCTCACTTAGACTTTCGACAAAATGCATTTCTCTCCGGTGAGTTCTCTCCTGCTTTACACTGCCAGCTGGTCAATTGCTGATTATCCAGCTTGTCACCGTGGCAGCTGCCCTTGCGCTGGCGCCTACCGCCGTTGTTGCTAGCACGGCCGCTGCTGCCTTTGTCACAGTGAGCTCGGTAGACACTTGCCCTAAAGGTGTGACCCAGGAAGTGAGCGCCACGCTACCCAAGCAGGTTACCACAGCCTACACTTGCGACAAAGTCAAGCTCAGCCATGACCTGTCCGTGTCCTATTACGACTTCGACATTGAGCCCCTCACCAAGGAAACCGATGAGTGCTGTCTCAAGGTCTACGACAACCCGGGTTGCCTGGGCTTTCCTATTTTGGAGCTTCCTGTCGAAGGTCCATTCGAGGACCGTTGCATCCCTGAATACGTCTTCGACGACGAAGTGAAGTACATCTCGTTCCAGCTCGACTGCGAGAAACCCCCTGCCAAGGTGGAGCCACACGGCCCTAAGCAAGTCGCTGAAGAACTAGCTTCCTGGCAGGCAGAGCACGCTCCTAAGCAGGAAGCTCAAAAAGGTCCCGAGAAGGCCCAGCACGCTCCTAAGCAGGAGGCTCAAAAAGGTCCCGAGCAGGCCCAGCACGCTCCTAAGCAGGAGGCTCAAGAAGGTTCCGAGGAGGCAGAGCACGCTCCTAAGCAGGAGGATCAAGAAGGTTCCGAGGAGGGTCAGCAAGCTCCTGAGCAGGCGCCCGAGAGAAAGGGGGGAAACCCTGCTGACAGTCTCGGCCTCGGTGAACTCACAAAAGTGCTCGGTTTTCGGTGAGCGGCGCGCTCGCTTCAAGCTGTGAGATTGGGTTGCATCTTGCATCACGGGTGGGAGTGAGTGAGGTTGATGAGACAGGGGACTTTACATGCACACAGTCTTGTATTTTAATTTTAATAAGCAACTTTTCTTGCCATGACAATGTCAATCAACATACTATTCATTTCGCTCTGGAGTGTCGCTAGATCGTAGATGGCGGTTTCGTCGCCAATATGAGTCCTATTGCTCCGTCAGCCTGAGTGTAGGGGTATAATAACCCACAGTACCACAATCCATAATAACTCATCTCTCGATTTCGAGAGCCAAGTTTGCCCTTCCAAGGACCGACGCTACTCATAGATTACGCGATTCCTTCTGCACAGTACGAACACCCGGTGACAGAATCAATCATAACCACTTCACTGACTCAACGCAGTCTTGACGACATCTCTCAGAGAACATAGCATGATAACGATATAGCCCGAAGCTTCTAGCACCTCATGCATTGCCGACATCGACAGGTCGCGTCACCGTCAACACAAGCAACGGAATGGAATGTAAGCCATCAAGCCACCAACACCACTGGCGCTGGCCACAATGAGCTTGGCCCGGAATGCGCGAACTGCGAACTGCAGACCTGACCGTCAGTCCATCAGACCAGCGTGTGCGTGTGCGTGTCGATTCATCAGAGAGTGGAAATGAACCAAAGTATGTGCATGCGTTTCGGGCGTCTCGTGTCGTGTCAAGGTCAAGGTTTGATCGTGGCTGATTCCTGCCATCGGGACTTATTTGTGATTATCGTTTGGCTTTGGCTCGAATTGCGAAGGGAGAAGGGCATGCATATATTGGGTCTTATGTTCTTCAGGTCTAGCAAGTGAGAGATCACGCCTCAGTGCAATTCTCTCTTATACTGCTGTGCTGGGTATATCGCTATCAACCATGCATTTCACGAACGTAAGAGTAAGACACACCTTTATTATACACGATACAAGTCTAACAGCATTCGCAGTACTTCCTCGCCCTCCTCCCATTCTTGACGCCCTCACTCGCCTCCTCAACCCCCACAGCCCGCATCTGGGCCGAATTCTTCCCCTCCTGTCCCATCAACCGCATCCACCCAGTCTCTGCCCCAGACCACCTGCCCCACGAGGAGTTCATCTCAGCGCTCAACATCTTCCCGGGGACCTGCACGAACATCTTGGTGCCGCTCTCGTACGGCCGCGAGGTAACACACATGTCCTTCGACGCGGAAGTCGAAGGCTCCAGACCCGAGAAATGCAGCATTGCCGTGCACGAAGTCCCCGGGTGCGTCGACCCGCCTCTCCTCGAAGAGGAAGTGAAGCACGGCGTCGCGTCCAGCGATTGCGTCCCCAGGAACTTCGTCTCGTATAACCAGGTCTGGGTCAGGTTGGACTGCGAAGAGGAAGAGGACGAGGAGGTGCAGTCGCCTGTACAACCAGCGCATAGGCGTGGGCCCGTGCTTCATGGCCGTCCTCATCTTCATGTTAACAAGTCGATTGAGTTGGCGGATCAGACTGCGCCTTATTCGAATGGGACGGGTTCCAGTGCTGCTGCCAGGCCGGTCTCGCTGCGGAGGGCCCTGCGGATACGGTTGTAGGGGCTCCTTCTCCCGATTAACGAAGTGTGGGTTGCATATGGTTGAGTCTGGTCTACCTTGCGTGTGATTTTTGACTGAGAGGAAGGCCAGCAGGGAGATTATGACGGTTATGTATATGATCAACGTCCCAGTTATGATTTCACGTTTTCAGTAGTCTGGCAATCCATGTAAAAGCCAGTTCGTGCTATACAAGAGATTCAGCTTCGGAGCATGGCTCGCGAAGCAGATAATTTGCGGTCAATAAGTGTATATACGTACACCAGACGCCTCCACGCTGGAAAAAGATCAATAACAACACTGGCGAATCAGAATCCGAAGCTATCGAGCAGCGAATTGGCGTCGGGTTCGTGGAACATCGTAGGTGGTGGTTGTGTTTTCTGTGATACAGCTGGTGTCTTTGGTGCCTGCGAAAGACCAGCTCTGATCGGCAGGTCTGCCACCACAAGACTGCTTCGCCGTCGAAGCATCTTTCGATAATCGACGCCGTTTTCCTGCAGCTTGTGCGTGATGTCTTTCAAAGTTTTCGGTGGAGGAGGTACGCTCAGGAACTCCCAATGGCGCACAAGATCCAGGGCAAGAAGGTCGCATCCCATGCGGTCATACAGTCGGGCGTTGCGAATGATGAAATCCCATTCCGCTCGGGCTGACACCTGAGAAGCCCCTTTCAGTGTTTGCAGGGTCTTCTCCCGAAGTTGTTTGTACAGAACGACCAAGGCAGGATCGTTGGATAAGAATGACTTCGCTTGTAGTGAAATTGAGCCAGGGCTTCCAGGAGACGAAGGGGTAGAAGGGATCAACGTCTCGACGGGCGACTATAAGACCAAGTTGTCAGTCAACGAAACAAAGAAGCAACAGGCAATACCATCTTACAATCAACGAACGGACGGCCATGTCGCGACGGCCTAGCATCCAAAAAGCCCACGATGCCATCCAACGGTTCCCGTCAGATGCGGCTTCGGGCAAAACCCTCTCTTCCAGGATCTCTCTCAAAACGGGACCATTGTCTCCTTCGTACGCACGCGTAATAGCGATCGCCAGCTGTAGATCCCCAACCTGGTTCAAGCAGACGTTGGCCGCATCGCGCAGCCGGTCTGCAAGAAGGAAGAAAGCCGCCGCGTACTCTGGAAAAATGTCAGAGAAAACGTACTCTAGTTCGGGGCTTGTGCAGGAAGAGCGTACCAAACCTCCGTTTTCCAAGCAGAGCATAAGCATTTTTCAGAGCTGCAGTCTTCCATCGAGGTTCTTGAAAGTCATTTGCCAGTAACCGTTGAGTGGCAGCTTGTTCGCGGTGCCAACTTGCCATCCGCCACAGACCCTGTAGAATATTCTTCTTCTTGAGCGCGATATAGAACAAGGAACACCCAACGGGGTTCTTTTCCTCCGTCTTGGTATATTCATTGCGCGCGACGAGCTCCAATTGCGCCCGCTGTTCTGTGTTAGCTCTTCATCCTTAACGGATGAAGTCGGGGATCGCTTACAATAGCATTAACGTCTGTCAGCCACATAAAAATACCGCTTTCCCTGGCCGCCGCCCATTGCATCTTGCCGCCGTACTGTCTTGACACAAGATCGGATAGGATATCTTGGCTGCCGCTATGGAACGCCCAGACAATCTCTCTCCAAGAAACCGTATCCTTATTTGCGACGCCTTGACTTCTTCTCAGCATGTGTTGTCGAAAGAACAAAAGATAGCGAGCAGCATTGCCATCCATTGACCGTCGGTGCTTCTCAACCGTGGCAACGCATTCGATTGTATCAGCTAGACGGAACTGCTCATGGCTGGAAAGTTGTGGCAATGCGAACCGAGAGAGATTCTCATTCAGCGCAGCGGCAGCGTTTTCGTCCATCACATTGGAGGTTTCACTCAGATCCAGGTCGGTGTACGAGGCTTGTAAATGTTTGGAAGACGCTTGCTGCGGAATCTGCTCATGTCAACTTAAGGCTCAAAAATCATAGTGCACTACTTACATCGTGCTCCACGTAAAAGTCTTCCAGCGGCGTTTCCAAAAAGCCATCAATGTCGTCACCTTCAATGTAAAATTTCAATTTCTGATGCAGAGTCGTCAAAATATAATGCACCAGATTGGTCTTGCCACTGAGGATGCATTGCGCAAGGAACTGTGGGTGAAAGACAGGTAGCGGACCGTTTAGTCGACTAACAACCTCGAACAAGTCAACGGAAGACAGACCGCGAGAAGGTATGCGGAGCTGCGAAACCAAGCGGTCGCTGGCGTCAATCTCGTTGTCGTAGACAAAGAGTTGGTTTCCAGCGCCAATCCCAAGGTGGCCGTTGCTAAGCCAGCATGAATCACCGATGGGGTGAGGTGTCAGATCCCGGATCCAGATTTCTCTGATCTGCGTCCAGGATGGACGAGCATCAAGATAGTCATAGCGCAACTGAGACAGTAATATGACTTTATGCGGAAAGCCGATTGCCAAGATTGACTGCTTGTCTGGCGTAGATGTCCAATCGAGGTCGCGAATGACATCGTGTTGGGCGAAATGTTCCTCGAACTCCAGTTGCGCACCGTTTGTATCCCAGATAGTCAGATGAGTGCGATCGCCGTCTACCAGAGCTGCCTTCTTGGTAGAGCTCCCACTGGCGAGGGAGGGATTCTCAATGCCCGTGTCGACGGTCGAGGTCAGCAAAAACTCAACCTGGCTATTCTGCTGGTCGACCTTGGCAGTCCAGGTATGAATGACACCTCGCCTAGTATACGACAGCGCTATATCAGGCGAAAAGAGGTCGAAGAATCCCGATACTGCTTTTTGAGGGCCTGCAGGGTCGACAGGCAAGATGTACGACATGTCCTCGTCGAGACCAAGATTGAAGGTACAAAACTTCCGCAGTGAGCACTGTGTAGCTGACATGACACCGTTGGTCTGAGCTTTGCCAGTGGGTAAACGTATCTCCCACGCTATTCCATTCATATCAGCCCCTATTGTTGCGATGTAGACAACGTTGCCGCCCTTATCCGCTGTCGGTAAGGGAAGGACGCAGAGCGGTTTGCTCGAGAGTTCGAATGATTGAAAGGCGATCTTTCGGGCATGAAACGCGCGGACATCCCAGACAGATATGCCATAATGGTGAAGATTGACCAGAAAGTCACCACTTTCTATCACACAGCTACGATGAATGTGTTCGTCCGAGTAGAGCCAGCTCTTCCGGACCAAAACCGACCGACCATGTCTCCACCTTTGCTTCCAGATCGTGGCCTTGTTCTCGTTAGTCCGAGAAACAAGCGTGTCTCCAGCTGCGTTTCGAACGATCTTCTTGATCGGATCAGTATGTCCGGTCCAAGACGCTTTCAGGGCGATCCGGTTTTTGCGCGGCGTTGGGTCAAACAGGACATCAACTTGCGAATCAACCCACTCAATTCTGCCATCGAAATGATGGACAATAATAGAAAAACAGTCGCCCAATGGAGTGGTCTGAAAAGCACAGAACTGAGCATAATCCTCCTCCGCGGAAAGTCCAGACATGAAGGAGAAATCAATGCTTTCTACATGAAGAATGTTGAAAGCGTTCATGTTCGACTTGGCCTTGGACCCAACATCCTCCAAAGCCCATGCAGACATATGACCTTGTCCATCTAGCACGACGCAAATTTCCGGGTTCTTGTTCGCAACTTCAATAATGTGTTCCAAGGCATGGTTCTCCTTGTTTCCTGCGCTCCGCTGCACCGCTCGTTCAGTCGCAAGACAAAATTCTCGACTATCGACAATGAACCCATATCGACGCCTATTCTTCTCATCCGCAGTCTCCCTCGGTTGAACAGATGCGCCCATGTCAATCTCCGTCCATAACTGGAGAGGCGTCGGCGCATGATGGTCGATCGCCGCCCAGACCCTGATCTTATTGTCCGCGCTCAGTGTGTAGAACACATTTTCCATGGATTGTTCTCGGTGAATCGGCTTACGCCAATGTATCCCTGTAACAACCGCTGGGTGTGGAAGATATGAAACCTCGAACCGCACATCATCTGCACCGAAGGAGAGCCGCCGCCAAACCTTGACCATGCGGTCGTAATGTCCCGTAGTGACCACCAGTGTCGAATCGGGAGAGAACTGTGCGAACTTCACCGGGTTGGCGAGCTTCTGCTTCCAAATGAGGCGCGGCACGTCATTTAAGAACCATAGTGTGAGGTGCGAATTGCCCAGGAGTAGCTCGTCGGGGGAGCCCCATGACAGTGTTCGGATTGTCTCGGCATCGTCTTCGCTGCGAAAGGTATGTAGAAGAGACCACTGCATTCAAAAATCAAGCAGCAAAGTCAGCAACCGTGCGACCACCACCAGTCATGGGACAATAAACACGCACCTTCAACGTTTCATGCTGGATGCCGTACGGCTGGTAAATGAAAACGTCGGGCCCACCACATACAGCAATTTTCCCAGAAGCTTCATCGATCGTCACAGCCTCGAGCGTCTTGGCCTCGTCCACGTAGATGGTCTGAAGGAGGGTCTGCGGACCGCCGAGAATAACCAGCGCATGCCCGGAAATGTACACCTACGGCAAAACGCGAAAGCGACAAGGGTCAGCGGAGCTCGTAGTCAAGCAAATGAAGCATAAGATCGTCTCAAGAATCACAAGGATATTTGCTTACAACCACGCGGAGACCATCCCACAGCGCTGTGCTGAAAGACTGGAGCTTCGCTGGGGGTCTCCCTGGTAGCACCGCTCGCATAGAGGCGGTCGTTGATCGAGTTGGACGCTTGTTGCGCTCGGTGGTGCTACACCATTGCCAGTAATAGACACGTGATGACGAGAAGTTTAGTCGAAGAATGTGCGACTGTCGATGAGAAAATCAGATATGCTGATTTCTAACGTGTGGGGGAAGATAGACAGTATACTCCGTCCGGAGATGTGAGATGTTGATGTCAATCACGCCGTTTCCGCTATCTGTATGGAGTACTTGCTCCACCATAGGCACTCCCGCCGTGTGACCAGAGCATGCGATCAACGTCGACCTAATCTTTACATAGAGGACTAGTATTATCTCTAGGCAAATTGTGGTATGGCAGATTATGCTCTGCTGCAGTATCGATGTCACGCTACTATTTCAAGAGCATCCAAAATGTCCAAGAAGCAGATAAACACCGTCTGCACTTAATTGCGTCACTCATCACACTATCGCTCATAGTACATATATCCAAAATCAACAGTGGTTTACGTCGATATAAATACCCAAAGAACCATGATGCACTTGACCACACGCCACGCGAACATGCAACAAGGTATCAATATGCTCACCCAATGCACCAATCGCAAAACGAAATGAATCAAAAAGAAAGCATATACACGAACAGAAGCTCCAACTTCTCCAAAGTAGATAATATCTCAAGGACGTCGATTCCCTGAGCCTCGACCGTCAGTCGGCGACTCAGGAGCTTGATCGACAAATCGCACACTTGTGCCTAAGCCGTGGCCCCGGCCATTGCGATTCCGGAAGCTTGAACCAGTCCGCGTGCCCATAGCCTCGGCACGCAACAATCGACTGGCAAACGGCGTATACAGAGGCGTCGCAGGTGTTGTAGAAATTTGTGTGAGCGCTTTGGCTCGCGCGGCTCGCTTGGACGGGGAGGTCATGTAGTTAGGGGTGGTAAGCGGAGTTGCTAAGGGAACCTGGGAGTCGGTACGAAAATCGCTGAGCTTGAATGGGGTCTCAGCTTGATACCAAGGATCAAAAATGGCTTCGTCTGTCCCGTTCGTGAGTGCACCGTCAAAAGCTCTTGCAGGAGTTTTCAAAGGACCCGGAATGTCTCGAGCTTCCAGTCTCATCCTGGCCTTCTCTAACCAATGGCGGAACATGCTTCTTGCGTGTTTTCTCAAATTGCGTTCGCGCATAGAATTTGCAGTCTCGAAGGAGCTTTTGATCTGGAAGATGCGAAGGCTGAGTTTGCGAAGCTGACCGTTTGCGCGACCCAAGCCGTGCAGGCGATGAACGTCGTTCGCTTGTTGCTTCAGGTCGCGGTACTTGGCGGATGATTCCCTCCAGCGTGTCAGTTGGCCTCGAGCAATCTGGCAGGCGTACAAGATCTCTGCCTCTTCGCAGTCCTGTACTCTTTTATCCGTCGACTCGCGCCATGTCTGCACATATTCTGCTGCGATAACCAAAGTCTTGCTCCGACAAAGGGCTATCGCCTGCTGCTCCAATTCTGCTACATGCTGAGCTCTCGAATGCCAGTGCGTTAGCGCTTTGAGGGCAAGATTGATCTTGATCTTTCGCCGCATCTTGGCATAGGCTTCCTGACGACGGCGCTTGGCAGAGTCCAATGTAGCCTTGTGCCACTTTTTGATCGTTTTGGTCGCTAGGAAGTAATACCGTGCGTCTTGAGCCCACCCCTCCAATTTCGTCATGTGCTGGTATTTCGAGTACCAGGCCACGAGCGATTCCTGCTGAAGGCGTGGCGCATAGAATTCGGAAGCAGCCACTTCGCGCTGGCGCTGAAGCGCAAGCTGTTCCCGCCAGCAGATGAACTTTGATCGGAGAAGTTCTTCGTTGCGGTACTCCTCATGTACATCGGCATGGTGCAAGAGACGTGTATAAGTGTCACGCACGTTTGTCACAAACCTAGCGAACACATCGCGCGTGATTCGTTGATCGCGAATCCTTTGCATCAATCGAAACCGTTCTGCGAGAATCCATTTGTACATGATTTCCATCTTCATGCGCTCTTCTATCCGCGCAGTCAGAGCCTGACATCGAAGTAGATCATTCCAAGAGGTCCATGCATTGCGCATAACCCTCAGTCGATCCACCTCTTTCGCTTCCCTGAGCATTTGCAGCCGTTTGGCCCATTGCGAGAGCGCCGTTTGGGTAATATTTCTATCTATCGTCGCGGAGACGCGAGAAGCAATTGGGCGTAATCGAGCCTCGACTCTCCATTCCTCGAGTTTTTCCTGCAGGACTTGCTTGCGATCCATGGATATAGCGTCTTTTTCTGCAGCAACAATGGCTTTGGATCTCTGATGCCATAGCTGCCAAGCTGTCGCAGTATCAATATGCTTATTCTTCGCGTCTATCTCTTGAATACGCTCCCTATTCATGCGGAACTTTCGCAGCCAGTAAAGCAAGGAACGTCGCTTGAGGCGATGGTCGTACCACTGGGGGGCCCGCCGATCACAGAAACTCCAGAACCATTGCCAGTAGACCGCATGTGTCAGTTTTTTGTTATGGACAGCCACTGCTTTTTGCTCCATTGCCTTCGCTTCTCGAGCCTTGCTTCGCCAGGCATTAAAGGGTCTTCGCAGCGCGAATCGCTGAGCTTTCAGCTCATTGACAGCTGTGATTTCACGCCAAGCGTTAAAATACTTGATACGGAGAATATGTCGTCGGGCAGCCGACGTTTTTGCAACTTCATCAGAGGCGATTTGCGCCCAATGCGTGAAGGCTTTGGTCATTAGATAGAGATCTCTGGCGCGACCAGCACGCTCTTCGAGATGTTTGAAAAATTTCTCTGTCTGAGCAACCCGGCGTTTATCTTGGATAATTGTACTCCACGTCTCAAACGCTTGCCGTAGGAGGGTTATCCTGTCGCGATTGACCGCGACCACTTCCATATTTCGGTGAGTCTGTTGCGTCTGAACCGCCCTCTTCAACCACTGCGTCAGAATGCGCCGAGCGATTGCGCGCTGACGATACATATTGAAAGTCGAAGCATCGCGCAGCAAATCGGAGAGTGATGGCCTATACAGCATTTCTGGGGGTACCTCCCTTTTCTCGAAAGAGTTGTGCGCGTCCTCCTGCGAAAATGTAGTAGACCCCTCACTGTCTTCATCCGATGCTATGGAGCTTGCGGCGCGGGCAGCCCGGGACCGTGACCTCGACCGCGAAGCTTCTGCCATTCTCTCAGAACGATCTCGGTCAACCGCAGATCTGGCATCTTTGCCAACAAAAGTTGGTGTTTCATCCCGCCTCTCCTCCTTAGAAGCCAGCTCTTCCATTCGGCGCATCAACTTACGCCCCACGTCCACAAATTGAGCCATCAATTGAGTCCTGTCAGGAGAGGCCCGTTGTTTCTCGGCCCGGACCGGTGTCGGCTCAGGGAATTCAGTCTTCCCTGTCTGCAGACGCGACATGGAGGAACGCGAGCTCGGACGGTTGACGAAGCTTCTTTGCGTAATATCTTCACCAACATCATACATAGAGTTGAAGGATGCTCGCCTACGGCGCCTTGTCTGCGTGGTATCCTCTCTTGACGTCGTATCGCGATCAACCCTCCTATTGCGCAACCCTTCAACTGAGGGTTCTTTGTCCTCATATGTATCATTCGTCTCGGTGAAGGTATCATCGCCATCAAGTTCAATGACGATACCCATTTGGCGAAGAAGATTCTCAAATTTTTCGAAGAGAGAATCGCCTACGACTTCTTTGCTTCCCATCTTGAAGAGGAAGCGCAGACAGGCATGGCCTGGATCCGCGTCCACTTCATGCTCGGCGACGACCTCATCGTACGCTTTGAACAACGCCCTGAAGGGAAGTCGGTTGGCATCCGGATCCAGCTCCGCGCGGATAACGATCTGATACAAGAGGCCGACATCTACACACAAGTAAGGCAGAGATTAGACAAAGAACTCGAATCGCAGAATCGCGACATGTTCAGTGGTCGAAGTTGCCTACCTTCGTCTGAAAGCGACGGGTTTTCAAAGGATAAAGCTTTACGCTGAGGGGGATTCGGAGGCATCGAAAAGTCCGCGACCTAAGGCGCGTTTTTCGCAGATCGGTCATGGAGGCGGAAAACGAAATCACGCATTGCGGGACGCAAAGGTGACGGTAGAACAAAGATCCGCAGTGGTCCAATGCTAGAAAAAACAAATCCAAGAAATCCAGAAAAATAGTATGTCCGACTATGCAGAGCGCTGAGACAAGGACACAGAGCACCCCGGCTTTGTCCCCAGAACTCGAATTGTTTTGTTCGTGTCGCGCAGATGGGAATGCGTACGTCATGTGATTGGCACTGCTTATGTAATGCGTTGCCCTGGGGCCGGCCCATGGCTCTGAATTGCATCACCAGGAGAGAGAAGCTACAGAGAAATCAGTTGCAGTATCACACCAAAATGCCATCAACAAGGGTCAGGCCTATTGAGAAGTTTGCAAAAGCTGCTTCTAAGTGCTCTGCAGAGGTGTGTTCATGTTCGTCGCATTGCTCTTACTGTCGGTATGCAAGCTAATCAGTCCTCAGGCAGCCACATATGGCAAATGCATTGTTGCTGACTACAATGCAGTGCACAAGGACATGTGTGCTAAGGAGTTTATGAAGCTAAAAGATTGCTTTTTGGTATGCTGTTCAGAAGCTATGGTTGATGCAGCTTACTGATGAAGTTATAGGCGGCATCCAAGAAGGTATGAGGTTGTCGAGGTCAAAATATTTGTCGGGGAAATTGCACCAGGCCAGACGTACAGAGGGGCTTACTGGAGACTGAAGAAGTGATTGCTACGATTCCAGATAGAACCAAGAGATTCGTAAACATAATTCATCTCTAGACAAATGTAAGATCTTAACTATTTTCATGCAGCATATCTCAATACAGATTGGCCCGAAGCTACAGCTTGAGCAACCGCAACAGGAAAGTTGCCTTTTGGACTTCCTGCTCCTCCTCCATAATAAGAGCTTCCTTGTCTCCGCTGGGGACCTTGCCATCAACCACGGCAACCTGTTCCAGGGGCCTGCGGACAGCCTTTTC